GCAAAGCCAGTGACTTCATTATAGTCTGAGAGCTATTTAGAAAGGTTATTCTGAAATCAAGAATAAAGTCTAACTTCCTGAGCATTTCAGTTCATCAAGCATATTAGCTCATACACACCCCCTTTTTGGCCAGACACATTCAGAGCTTTGTTGTTTTTCCTCCAGACCTTCAGGAAGATGTTTGCATGTTTGAATCCTGGAAATTCTGACCAGAAATACACTGTAATTTCCCCCAACATGTGTGGATAAATTCCTTCTTACCAAAACTATTTATTCAAAGTCAGGAGAAGGTGTGTAAGTTCCCGCTGTAGTACTCTGTATGAGGTACAGTTTTCCACTGGGAGCAAGCCAGGCACCATCACCCATTTATTCATTATCCCTGAAAAGGAGTAACTTTTCAGATTAGATATGCATTTGGTAACAATCCTTCAGTCCACAGGGCCTGACTGTGACCCATGATAAGCCTTAAATACGCAATGGGAAGTTCCAGCAGCATGGGGAAACATAAGGAAGCCCAAAGCCAGCACTCCACCCACCACCCACCTCCGCAGCGTAGGTGGTGTGACTGGAGCACAGGCAGGGAAGAGAGGGAGTATGGACAGAGTACACCACACCCAAGCACAGAGCAGATAAGGACAAGTTCAGAGAGTTTTAAACAGCTATAAACTGCCAAAACAAACACACACAAAAACCAGACCAGCCACCCTCACAAATGCATGAAGTTTGCTACAGTGCACCTGAAGATAAGGATCCCACACTCCAAGACTCAGTTGACACCACAGCACATTTTGCAGCCTGAAGCTCCAGACAGCGCCTCGGGAGGCAAAGGGCACTTCTTTCCACTGCCTTGAGCTGACAGGGTGAATCACACAGCAGTTAGCTACATAACCACTACCTGCCACTGCTCACAAATCCCCAGAAAATTGCTTTCAAATTAGCGTTATTTCAAAATCTAAAATGCTAAAAGAGAAAGCCACTGTCATTTCTAGACACATTCCAGGATGTCCCTCACTGAGATCTCTTAAATATCTTTCCTTGAACTAATTATAGGACAGGTTTCTAAATGCTGCCTCATTTTGTTTACGGGTTGCTTTCAGATAATATCAGAAGTAATCACCCAGTTTCGGTACAGATTGTTGCATCATAAGAACTTTCTCTCAGAAGCCAGACGGTAATTTCCACTTGTAAGCTCACTCATCTACTACCTATTAGCTTTTATCTAAAGGTAAAAGAACTGCACGGTTTCATGAGTAGACAACATTTTAAAAAGTGACAGAAAATTGCCTTGATATGGATAAGGAATAGTAAGGCAACACTTCTCTGCACAGCGTGCTCTCAGGATTTCATGTAGATACAGAGGAAGGTCCTCTGTTCTCCTACAAGCATCAGTAACAGTTGGCTTGCATAAATCTGTTCTCAAAAGCCAAAGGCATATAGGGGTGGGTGGGAAGAACTTGAAATTATTGGTGACTAAGGTACAAAGTTTTGCCAGGTGCCTGACAAGCAGTTTCCTTCTTGGCAGTGACCTTCATTCATCTGCTAGGTGATTCTGGCTAATCCTTTAAGAATTACTGGTGTCTTCTCCAGCTGGTGCCTGTTCCAACTTGTATCACCATCCATTCAGTGCTCAACTGGATTACTTATATTACTTCGCCAGTACTGGAGATTGGCAAATGAAGTGGAAGAGCTGGCAAGCAAATCAATCTCTTCAAAATAACATCCAAATTGTCATATCCACTTAGCTCACAATGACTTTTAAATGAGTGTCACACTTGGTCACCGCTCAGAGGTACCTCCTCTGTGTCAAAAGGGTTCCAGCTCAGCATCTCCCTCTACCCTGGCCAGCACCCTACTTCAGACCATCGTCTCATAACAGCCTCTCACAATCCTCTTCTAGATTTTCAATTCCCAGGTCCTTTCTGTTCTAGATCCCAAACTGATCCTTCTTTGCAGTGAAAGTATACAGCTGCACCATGGCTACAAGTCAGTGATCACTGAAAGCAGCTGTTTTTTCTGGTACCATAACCTGGCTGTGCAGTCACCAGAACTGCGGCCCACTGTATGATCACAGGTAGGTCACATTCCAGCTGTGTCATTCCTGATGATCAAACAGCTGCCCACAAAATTCAGAGCAAGGTTCATGGCAATAGGACAAAAACCAACACAAAACAACAACAAAAGAAAATCTGCACACAACATGGGCCCCTGGCTCATAAATTGTATCTCCACTCACAGCATTTTCCCCTCCTGCTGCCCCAGATGTCCTGATCAGCAGAGCTGTTCACAGGGGAATGTCCTTAACATACCACAGCAACACTACTTCCAGGGTTAACAGAACACTTATGGAAAAATACCATTTTCTTATTTTAAGGAGTTTTAGTGCTCCTTCAACAATAGCGTTTAGACCCTTTCTCACCCATATCCCTCCTGCATTAGAAAGGGACAACTTGATTTAACTTACTTGAGGACACAAAAGTCCTTCTATTCTACAGGCACTGGAACATTCCGTTACTTGCCTACTTGATTAATTTTATTACAGGCTGAGCTAACATGTTCAATAAATAGCCTCACACACACAACACAAAAGTTGGATGACAGAGATGTTGCCAAGAAGTTCAAAGGTTTTCAATTTAACCATACACTTTAATTATGTCACATGCCTTAGTTATTTCAGATAGGTTAGTGCATTTAAAAAGTTACTAGTATCTTAATTCTTCAGGAAGTGATTCTTCATTGCAAAGCCTTACTCAACTGTTTTAATCTGCAAAAAATAAATCCTAAATAACTTGACAGATTAAAATGAAGAGTAAATGGATCAACTTTTGAATTTGAAAAAAAATTAAAAATAAATTAAAAAAAAATGTTAATTTTAAAAGCTTCCATTTCATTTAAGCTAGCACTTAAAAATAAGGGGGGAAAAAAAGATGTGAACTATCAAGCAGAAACTAATTATTTCAAATGCTGATCCATGTGGTGACTGAAACATCTTACACCAGCTGAACTGCACAGACAGAAACAGATCTCCCCTTCAGTGTACCAAGAACAATCCTTCTGGAAGCTTAGCATAAACGTTTCTGTACCAAGTAGAGTCAGCTCAACCTAGAAAGAAATGTAATTTCAACTAAAAAGCACTGGATTGTTAAATTAAGAGCCAAGTGCTCCACCTAGACTAGTCTGAAGCATCTCTGCTGTTAGACAGTGCTTCCTAAAACAAGACCTGCCTTGCTCCTTCTTTATGAACAAGCTTAAACTTCAGTAGGGAAGTAACAAAAGCACGTGGATGGCAAGACAGCTCAACATTCACATGAAATTTGGATGTAATTTGGTATTTCAGGTCTGATCCCACTTCCCCCTCAGTCCAAGCCTTTTGTACAGACATTTGTGAGAACCAGAAACCCCACAGGGACTCTGTAGGAGTAAGCCAGCCAAAGCCAGAGGCACAAACCACCAGCTGGGCTGGAACAACCACCTTCATGTGGCTCTTGAGTCAGAATCAAAACTGTTAGAAAGTGATTGACTCTTCAGAAGAATTACATCATTTCTAGGAGCTCTGACTTTTGGGTCATTCCTGTCTGCTGTTATTACACCTTTGCACAAACCTGTTAGCTGGCCACACCCACACCTACCAAATCTGTTCTTTCTGTGTAGGGAGATATCATAAGGACCTCTTTTACCTACAGAGAGAGTGGGCAAGGCCACAGTACCACTGCAGAACACCAGCTGCTATGTTGCCCTCCTTCAGCCTGACGAGAGACCTTGCTGCTGCCTAACAGCACATTGGTGTGGAGTCCTGGTCCCTCCAGATCCATCTCGCTCTTGCCCCAGTGCCAGACCAGAGCACAGGATATGTTTGCTCCTGGTATTTTTACAGAGCAGTGTTGTGTGGAGTGAAACATCTGTACAAAGCTGAGAGGGAGGATAAACTCTGTGGTGCACCATGGAGAACTAGTCAGACACCTAAGAGTGGTCATCAGTGCCTCGGTTTCATTTACAAAAGGCAGGCAGAAAGGCAAAAAACATATGAAATAAATTCACTTCGCATAAATTTATACCCTTGCTTAAAACAATAGCTATTACAATGGGGAGGGAGGTGACCACAGAAGAAGTTCATCAATACAGGATTGTTTGTCAACATTCAGGACACACTCGTTTTAATGTCAAAGCAGCCAAAGATGGCAGATGGCTTGCACTGAGTATCAGAAAGGGATTGGTAAATGAAACATAACCAGGGCCTGGCCACAAGGAGAAGGGGAGAAACACAGAAATGCAGCTCCCAGGTCTTACTCACCCCAGGAGGCACCATTGCACCAGGAACAATAAGCAGAAGAACAGCACCAGCACTTTCCCCAGACAGAGCTGACTCAGTGGGAAGAGGACCTTGGCTAAACCACTAGTTCCACCATCAGCATTACCTTTGGAGAGATTCCTCCCCACTGCAGGGGAACAATCACTCAGATATTTTTACTCATTAAGCTATGAGATGCTATGAGGATGGGGGGAGGAAGCCCAAACCCCACATTCTTCCCCCCTCCACCCTTTTTTTTTTCCTCTTTGAGAAAGTACCTGATTTAACAGCCACCTCAGAAGCAGGCTTATATTTTGTTGGTAGATATGCAGCTTGGGTGGTATCTGGTAGTCTGAGGGATGGTGTCTGTATCTCTTGATAAATATGATACCCATTAGGTTTTACCACTTTCTTTGATCTCAGCTGGCTATAGAACAAGAATCCCTTCATTGGGTTGAGAGCTCAGGGCTAGTCAGTGCATGGCTTGTGACTCACATCCATCCTACACATGAAAATAAATACACTCTGTGCATTATAAGAGCATATTTAGAGCATAAATACACACTGTTGTATACACTCTCTGTATTATATACACAGAGTGAAAGAAAACAGATTGAACCACAGCAAATGAAGTACTAGTAAATAATCTATCCCCTTCTGGAGAAATGCTTATGGCAACAAAAATTAGGAGCCTTTCACTCTTTTGCTTTTGCAGAGACAAAAGCAGCTGGAGCATCTGGCAAGGCTCGCAACAGGGAAGGATTCCTTAAGGGCTGCGAAGGCACAGAAATGAAATGGTAAGCTGTGCTTTTCTTGTGCTGCAAAGCAGCTGAAGTTTGGGGGCAGAGGGAATTTAATTTAATTGCCAATAGAAAATAATCTCAAGAGCAAACTATGACTATGTATATGCAATTAACTTTGGCCACATGAGAGTGCAAGTGGGAAGTATGGATCTGGTGTTTGTGACTGAAGCCCCATCTCATTACAAGCCACAACAAGACTAGAGAACAAAACAAGACAGGGTTTCTAACCCATTCAGCTTTGTGTCCAAACTTCACAGAAGAGAGATTTGGGAAACAGAGCATAAATTATGCTAGAGAAAAGGTCTTTGATCTCTGCTCTAGCACTTTAACAAAGCGTTTGGCATTTCTCTCTCTCACTTTACTAGGGAGACCGCTCTCTGGATGGTTGCCTGCTTATTGTTTGCGTCTCTACCCAGAGGTAAATATACTATAATACACATCTAGGAGTTTGTGGAAATATTTATGTGTGAATACACAAATTGCAAACTGAGAACCTTGGAGTAAAACAAAACAAATACATCCTTCACTTTGAATATATTTCATCACAGTCCAAGGTTTTCAAATACAGGTAACAACCCTCAGATAAACCTCTACCTCTAAAAGAAGTGGTTTCAAGGTTAAGGTATTTCAGGCCCCACAAAACTTCACCTATAAAGTTTATCTTGCCCACATCCTTAAAAACACCCTGCCATTTCCATAATGTTAAGGATGACTTGGAATCTCATCCTTTACAACCCCTGACTGCCTTACATCTACTTTTGTATTCAAGCTCATTAAGTTGCTAAGTTTGCCACAGGCATAACCAGGTAAGTGAAAGGACTTGAGCCCAGCAGCAGTCTCTCCTTCACTCTTTGTACATGCTCTTCCAAGTTCTAGCAGAGTTGGGTCTCTGATATTATCTAGTTTAGATATGATCTTCCCTATGAAAGAGATACTAGTGTGTGTTGGTGAGGGAGTTTTCTACCAGCTACAGGGGCAACTCCCTGTAATTTCCATATCTGAGGCCTAAATTCAGCAATATTAAGACCTCTGTGTGTGATCAAGACTCTTCTGTTTACCCAGAAGCACCTCACATTTACTAAGTGGTTCAGGGGGTTACACTTCATCAGGCAGTAGTCTCCCTCCCTCTTCTGAAAGCACAACTGACATTTTCAGGGAAAACTTTTGTATGTCTACACAGAGCAGTGTGAAAAGTCCATTACTACTCAAGATGGGCTCTTTTGGTATCTGAGCACACCTACAAGTATGCAGTCACCTAAGTAACTACCATTTCACACACACACACACTCACCCCCACCAAGGGAATTCATGTTCAGTGTTTCTGAACAAGCAACTGGGATTCCAAACCGCCACCTGCCCTCCCCAAAATACTTCTGTGTGTAGGTGAGACATGAGCCTGTAAGGAATCACACAACACTACCTTGTCAGGATAACGTATTTCTGTTTGAGCGCATAAAAAGAAATCCCCTGTTGCCTCGTTTCTAACGCTGAAACATTTTTCTGCTTAACTTCCAATATTAAACTACTGTCAGAACTGCTTTAATGTCACCAGAGTGAACTTTAGAGATGCTCAAGAACTTTCCAATTTCAGGCCTGTTTCCACAAAGCATTAACTTTAGACTGCCTACCGGCATCCCAGATTCTTCTGGTACAAGCAATATAGAATTAATAAACAAAAGATGATTACCCTAGATCATCTTCAGCAGACACACACACACACACAAATCCCAGTCTTTATGACCTTCCCTACACTACACTTTGGATACTGAAGCAGCAGTGTTTTCTCATTACAGGAATCTTACAGATTGGTTAAATTAGCACACTCAACTTCGCTTTGATAGACTTAAAGATTTGGGCAATATTTAAAATACACAATTTAAAAAACCCCACAAAATACACTCATTTCACTTTATATTTGAATCTTACATTTGCATATGAAAGCTGTGTGCCAAAACACATTATTTCTGAGGTAGAGAACCGCACCTTCCACGTGCAAAGCTTACCTGATAGAGCAGATGAGTGCTACTTGCCCTGCTTCGCATGCTCCAGCAGCGGCTGCCACTGTCACCACAACTCACAAACTGGCTGCTTCACTGTCCTGACCAGGAAGGTCTCTGCTTTCACACCTCCTAGTACATCAATAGCCTCCATGAGAAGCTTAACCAGTCTTCAGCATGACTTTACTCTCCTCCTCAAGACTAGCTTACATAAGGGCACTTGACTTGTATCTGGAAGTCTGTTCTTCCCATCCACAAAAGACTTCACGAAGCTGTAGGCTCTGTTAAATAACTCATTACAGCCAGATTTCAGACACCTGTTCTTGTCTCAGGCAACTTCAGCAGTGCTTCCTTTTTTTTTGCCTCCTGCTGACCTGGTTTCACCAGCTGAAAGCAGCATAGGACAGGGTGGGCTGAGCCCACTGGGCATTTATAAAGTCATGACAATTGTTACAAGCTTTGATCATGGTATCATGCAGGAAAGAAATGGTTATGCTAGGCTCAGGTATGCTGGGTACCATTGTCCATCTTCAGAAAAAGAATAGAACCAAAAAGCAGATAGATGCACTTCTAAAACCAATGTCAAATTTAGAAGTGACTGCAATCAGGAGATAGGATGAACACTATTCCTCCCTCTTTTGCTCATTAAGCAAATGCTGATCATCCATTTTCCTAAATAGAACTACAAGTTCCACTGATTTCAGGATTATCTTTTCTTCATCCATGTGCAACATACATTGCAAGCACTCTCTCTCCTAATGGCATCCTGTGGACAGGACTCTTCCCACCAGAAAGCGCTTCTGGAGGATTACATCTTCCAGGGCTTACAAAACACCTGCAGCAGCCTCAGACACACTCACCTCACCATTGTGGTTGGCTAACCACGATCAGCCATAACCACAGTCCACTTTCAGACGCAACCTTTCTTCAGAAGGACTCTGCTGAGCACAGCCTCACTTGATTCCCCAGGTACAAACAGCTCAGGGAGAGATCTCGGGCTTCTCCCTCCCCTCCTTGCCCTTCAGCACCTGGCAGTGGTCCTTCCAGGTGTGCTGGGTCCAGCTAATGGCCCTGCCTGGGTATGTCACTAATTGCAGGGCTGCACCAGTCTCCTTGGAGAGTGTAGGTCATATGTGCTGTGGCAGTAAGGGTACAGTACAGTGGAGGCAGATCTTTGTTTAAATAAGATTCTTCTTTGGATACTGTTTAATTTGGCTTCCCCTTGAGAAGCAAAACCTGGACAGCAACTGATACAGTCTGAAGAAGGTTGAGCTCTCCACCCAGTAAGGGGAGTCTCCTTCCACCAATAACCAGAAAGAGCACTGGGGGTATGTGTTTTTTTCAGCTAAGTTTACATTGTTGGGCAAAAGTGGACTGGGATTTTCAGCTGAAATATCTGAAAACTAAAGGGAAGCAGATATTTGGTGATAGAGTTATAACTGAAGACATTTACTTGGCTCTGCCATTTAGCTTTCTGAATTATACTTTTTGTTCTGCTTTTATGTCTGTCTGGATGGACACACGTGACACCAAACAAGCTTCAAAACAGACACTGATTAATATGGAAACAGAGGCCCAAGCATGTAGTAAGTTGAGCGCTGTCAAGGGAGAACTTGGGCTCCCTTTGGTTTTAGCCCAATATATGCAGAGCTGGTGCAGGCCTAGAACACAATGACCACACTGCAACCAAAAACATTTATTTCTTCATTTAGCCTGATGTTTCACAGAACTTTGGCCATGAAAACAGATTGAGTTGTTTCAGAGTGAATTTTAGCTTTTCTTCTTGGCACAATCACAGTTTCATGCTGCTTTACTCTGCTCCCTGCTGGGGATGAGTTTTCCATCCAAATTAATTAATCTGCATTTTAATTTTTAAAATCATTTTATGAAACAGACCAAATACTTTGGTCAAAGTATTATATAAAGCCCTCATTTTGTGCTGGAAACACTTAGTTGCCTACACTTTATAAACACACAGAAACCTTATTCTGTAACCCAGTCTTCCCCTAGAAAATATAAAACCAGTCCAGTAAGAGTTGCCCTATGTGACAGTGGCAGACTCCCTCACTTGTGCAAGTTTTAGTATACTTTCAGTTAACTTGAAAGAATTTATAAAAATAATTAGCATCAAAGTTATTAAATGAACCGTGTGTGTAAGTGAGATGCACCTGGCTTCCTGCCTTGCCTGTCTGCCTATTTGTTCACCCGCAGGTTACCCTCACCTGGTTCTTACATTGAGCTGGAATAGGCTAGTAAGGTTGGAACATCTCTACCCAATGTCACGGCCACCCGTACAAAGTACCTGTCTCCCTGGGGCCTTGGAAAAGCTATTTACCTGAAGTGGGAATGACAGACCTTCTTTCTGGGGTACTGAGAGAATAACTATACCAAAGAGTACGAGAGGCCACGGGACAGGTGCACCAAGAGAGACCTGCAGAAAAAAACCCTGTTTTGTCAGATGCTCTGCAAGACGTCACATGGGAAGGGAGACAGGGGCCTCTAGCACATTATTTACAAATGGAGTCATGATCGGATAGGTGAGCAATAGGAGTTGGGGAAGATCAAACTTATCCAGGACATTTATCTTGCTGATACAACACCCTTTTCAGGCTTCTTATTTTTCAGCCAGAATTCGTACAAAACCAAAACTTGCTTCATCATGTCTGCCCATCTTCACTTCCTTGCATCCCCTTTTCCTTTTGTGAACTGACCAATCAATTAAAATTAAATCAGACACTTGATCTCAAAGACTAAGATCCCCAGCAGCTGGGAGAAAAATCATCTGCTAAGGAGACAAGTTCAAGCAGCACCCATACTGACAAAGTGAAGGCAACTTGCAGGCACCAACATCTGTCCTGCTGCACAGCTGGCTGGGCACTGGGCATACATGGCCCTCAGTCCTGGCCTAGCACATACTGCCTCCTGCCTGGCTGGGAGCAGGAGGACATCGGCAGAAGAAAGGGGAGGAAGAGAGGCAACAGTGATGCAATGAAGCCAAATTATAGGAAAGCTGGTGTCCCTATCTCTGCTGTGCACTGAAAAAGTTGTCTGTTTTTTCTTCCAGGTCAACCAGATACAACATGCCATGCATTTGTTGGAGAAACTGTCATCTTGCCTTGCACCATCACCTCTCCTGGGGAGCTGATCCTTTCCCATTCGAAGCTCTACTGGCAGATAGACTATGCCTTAGTGCACTTTTTCCACAATGGGCAGGATTCACTGGCATTGCAGGACAAGCATTACCATGGCAGAACTAGTCTTTTTTTTGACCAGATGAAGCATGGCAACTTTTCCTTAAAGCTCTCCAATGTCCAATTACTGGACGCAGCTGTATATAATTGCATCTACAAACAGACTGGGGATCATCCCAATGAAACACAGAAATCTACAATTAAACTCATTGTATCAGGTAAGATTTATTCTTAGTTCGGAGGGAATTGAGGGCAGCATTTCTTGTTGACAAGCCATATATGGCCATTGACTGGCATGACTTCCATTTTTAAAGCAAATCTTCACTCAGTTTCACTGTGTTCCTTGCTTTTCTTGGAAGTGAGAAGGAAAAAAAACCCGCATCTTTGTTAAGCTTCAGCACAACATATCCACAGAAGCAGCAGGACTCCTGAAGGCGAGCCACCCACTGCCTCCCTCTCCCTTTGCAGGAGACATTAATGAATAATGAGGTCTCTGCGACTTCTAAGCTTTTGGTTATTTATGGGCTTGTACTGTCCTAGATCCACGTTGTCCCAGAGGAATGGAAGAGTTTATTTCATTGTTTGCATTTGGGTCTGTGAAGAAGGATTAGTTTAATCTCTGGCAATTGGATCCAAAGTCCAGGCCATATACCCTTTCAGATGAAAGAGAGGCAGTTGCTAATTATCTTTTCCCTTGCAGCTGGAAGATCTGGATCTGGTGGAAAGGCTGGACACATACAACAACAATGATATTTTTCTTCCTTAGGAAAATGAGTGAGACCATGACACATGATTGAATAATGTCAAACAACTGAGCTAGCATGTTTGAACTACCTACAAGCATGGCCAGCAGAATTACGGGACACTGGGTTTGACCAGCTGACCAACTGAAAAAGCAAATTAAAAAGAGGGGATTACACATTAAAACAAATCAAGTTTTTTAAGGTGTCTTGCTTGAATAAATCAGCTGGAAGCTTTAATGATGGTCAACCACACACATTTAATTCTGCTTAAAATAGAAAAATTTTGTTTTCAAGTAATATAAACCCTTTAATATCTTTGTTATAATGCATATAATTTTAAAGAGAAAAAATGTTTTTAAATGTAAAGCAAAATACTTTTGTTCAGAAAATTTCAAATTTGAGATATTTTGCAATTTTAAAAAAAAACCCAGGTTTTGAAATATACAAATCAAAATGTTTTCGTCATCTAATTTTGGGGAGCAGTAAGGTGCCTTTTACTCTCATTTAATTCTGTGATCATATTTAAGCTGTCAATTTGCCTGACAAATGTATCCTTTCTCAGAAAAAAACACTAACCCTCAGATGAAACAAATGACTTTGGTTTGTTTTTTTTTTCTAGCTCCACCTGGCACTGAGGAGGCACCTTCCCCTTCTGGTAAGGCAATACTCCTTAACCTGCTATGTGTCTAAGTGATCATACAGTAGTTTAATTTGAATTAGCAAAATTGGTAAAATGTGTTGAAGAGAGAAAGTCCAATAGACTTATGGTGCTTGATCTCTCTTAATAAACCTAGCAAAACATAGCTGTTCCAGACAGGGAAAAATATCTCCACCACTAAGACTGACCTAGGCTGCAGAAAGAAAAATACTGAAGTGTCAGTGGTTACTAGTCCATAAAGCTACTCATCATTATGGGCATCATAAAAATCAGTAAAAAACAAGTAACATGGAAGCTGTGGGAGACATCGGCCTGTCAGCTTCGCACAGCCTCTGAGAAGCAACTAGGCTTTGATGAAAAACAGGCCTTGGAAGATAGATAAGAAACTGCTGAGTTGTGACAAGGTGGCAGGGAAAAACAACAGACAGTTGCAACACTGAACTGTGGGAAAGTACTAAACTGTGAGAAGTTGCCGCCGCGTGAACAGCGCGTGAACAAGAAGGGGATTGGTCTGCACAGCACGTGTTAGAGTGGTCTTATGCTGACAGGAGAAAAGGTTGATAGCTGTTTAATTGCTGATTTGCTAATTATGAAGTAAGAGCTTTAACCACAGTATAAGTATGTACTATTGTTATAATAAAGGGTCTTTCCTTCTGCACTTCAGTGGAGAGTCTGTGCCTCAATTGCCACAGGAAGCCATTTGGTTCTGGAAGTTAAGACCTTTATAAATTACCTTGGTATGAATGAACTACGAGAACAAGAGATCTGAGGGGGTCCTTTTGGGTAAATAAGATAATAAATATTCTAAAAATACCTGAGTAATGACTCAACATAAGCTCTTGTGAGATAATTAAAGTAGACCTCATCCAAAGGCAATTCTAAAGTATAGTGCAAATGCTAATGTCTAAGTTTAATAATTACAGAGAATTACATTAGGGTCATTTGTAAACACTTCTGGAGCGACTGCAATACAGAAGGGCTGTCCTGCTCTGACATGCCATTGTCAGTAATTTCTCCCATAAAAATCCTGCTTGTAAGCCAAATTATTCTTACTAGTGCTACAAAATCTTAAATTGGTATCAAACATGTAGCATTTTGTCATATAAAAATCAATAGCTTCAATTTGCATTTTATTCAGTGTAGCCAAATGATATAATCCATTACATAATTATATTACAGTTATTATATAATAAATATAATTATATTACAATTAACACGTAATTATATTACATGTTAAATTCAGCCACAATACAACATTACAGCCAGATTAAACAGCAGTAAATTCAAAGAGAAACTAAGGCAATGTTCCAGTGTTTTATCTTGTGACCACACAGTAAAAAATCAGCTCTGTACTTCATAAGCAATCAACAGCTTGAAAAATTACAAGAAATATCCTTTTTAGACCTAAGACAGCTCCACTAGCAAAGCTTAAAGCCTTGTCTTTAAAAAATATGAAGTTAAATTCAAGATGGTATCACATGCGTTCAGTGACAGTACCACATTATAACTTTATAAAAGCAAACAGAACAGGAGCTAGAGTATCTCTAGCTGTTAGTTTCCACAAGAAATAAGAAGTTATTAAGGGTCAAACTTTTTAATTCAGTAGCAGTAGAAGTTTCTCAAAACCAAAAGGCAAGTAGGCTGTATTTAAAGGAGATAGTTGTATATACGTTTGACTCAGCCAAAAACTTTGACAACTTTTCCTTAATATAAACTATTTCTTACCATGAAAAGGTATTTATATTGGGGGAAAAAAAAAAAAAAGTGACTGGGACAAGCAGCAGTACCAGTTTTGCTACAGATAAACAAACTGATTCACACATTTTAGACACCTGAAGGTTCTTGTACTTCTGGATTTTGGGGGGCTTGGGGAAAGAACAAAAGCCTAACTTTAGAGACATAATTTTTTGCAAAAAGGAAAAAAAATATTTCCCATTGTCAACTTCTTCTAAATAAAATCATCAGCCACAGCTCCCATTTTTTAAACTTTTCAGCAATTTCTTAAGAAAGGGAGGAAAATAATCTGGTTTGTATTAGTTGTTATTTTGGAAGGGACTTAGAAAAGCTAAGTGAGCTGCTGAGAACAAAGGCACTCTGTGCAGAAATAGCTCTCATACTTCACAGTTACCATAGCCAGATCAGCAGATATTTATTATTTTTGTATAAAATAGAAACAGCTTTGATCTGTTTAACTTCTGCTTCTTAACTTTCTGTTTATTTGCTGCATTTAATATTTTTCCTAATTATTTTAAAGAGCCTAATTTTACTGCCACTATGGGTTTCTTGCAAGACTCCTTCTGGGTCAGTCAAAACTTGTTTTAAATTTTTTCTGGGAAAAATGAGAAGTGCCTAGGCCTGGAAGAGGTCACAGAGGCCAGGAGACTTGCTATAATCCTACATTTATTTCAAAGCACTACTGAGGACTGCCCGATATTTACTTGCTCTTTACATGATAATACTACATACTCCTTCTAGGAAGAGGAGGAGGAAGTACCCCTACTACTGGTAAGTTAACTGCAGCATCATACTGAAAGCTGATACCACAGCAATAGGAACAGCTTAAGAATTGGTATAGAAAACAATATACAGCCTGATCTTCCCAGAGAAGGACTTAGACCTAAACATTTATAGGAAAGATTTCTTTTTTTTTTTTTTTTTTTTTTTACTTGTGTACTACATCCAGAATGGTGATCACAAAGCCTACCTCAGGCCCTGAATAGGTAGAATGATATTGTATTTTATATTCTATTAGTTGTTGTTCTGCCATAATTTTAAACAAGTATTCTCAGTCATCCAGAAATGGAAGTTGTATTCATTGTGGCTCAGTGTCTGTGCCTTTTCTACGAAGGAGAAAAAATGATCTGTCATAGAACCTCAAAACTATTTTTTCTGGATGGTACACAGACACACAAAAAGGGAAATTTTGAAAATGAGCCAAAATCTATAAACCATCATCCATCAATGCATTCATGTAAAATACATCACACAAACTTCAAATACACTTCTTGTCAAGCCACCAGTTATATGCAAACTTTCTCTTTTTTTCAGGACACAGTCAGATTTCCTCCAGAAGCCCAGCTGATGTGCCAAATCTGGCTATGCTTCCCCTCTCTTTCCACCTCCTTGTCACACTGGGGGTTTGGCACTTGTAACTGGGGAAGTCAACCTTCTCATTGAGAAGTTCTCCTCACCAGAGGACCTCGCTGGGCAGAACAGCTCTGTAGGGTTAGCCTGACGACTGTTCCAGAGCCACATGAAAGAAATACCGATAGCTGAAGTCAGATGTAGCACTAGGTGTTTAAGTCCTGCATTTTGGTGTTCCACAAAACCAAAGGCAGCAAAACTCAGAGGTGGCAAGTCTGCTCCTTCATTTGTTTCTTGGAGCTTAGTTTTAGTGCTGCCAGTATGAACATTTTATTTTGGATTTTGTAGTTTTGCTTTTGTGACAGGATAAAAGACTCACAAAACTACAAGGTCACATTGTAATTGACCCTAGTGAGATCTTTTGCCTAAGATATCATCTGCTGCCCTTCAATGGAATTGAAAGGAGTAGAAGGGGTAATTACCTTCTGTGTCAGATAAAAACTGGAAGTAGGAAGATGTCCGCATTTTGTGAAATGTAAGGATGGAAACCTTGTGAAACTTGAGCCTGTGGAACTTTAGCTTCTATTTTTACTCTTAAGTGTCATGGGCTATCAGTAACAAATTCTCTTCCACAAGAAATGTAGCATTTCCTCAGCAGAAGGGTGAAGCTGACCAAGAAAGATGACGGAAGTTCATAAAACATCAACATAGAGGAAGGAAGTGATATATTACTACAAAATCCACTTCTAAATAAGCCAAAAGCTTTAGAAGGCTGAATTCAGTATTTTCCCTTTTTGTCATGAAACACAGCAGGGTAAATGTGATCATCGTGGAAAAGCTGTATTCTTAAGCTAGACCTGTGCGATAAGAAATTTTTACTGTGAAAATGTTACTTCTTTAAAAATGGTACCTTTGGTGGAAAAAAGAATTAAAAACTGGTCAGAATAATTGTAACTGATACCTATGCAAATTAAAACGGTTTAGTTCTGGAAATGTTCAATTCAGATAGCATAGACGTGTGTAAAACTAAGATTGAAAGGATCCTGTATACCAATGATATCAAGAAAGTGAAACAGCCCTATTACAGAACCAAGAAGCGTCTGGAGAACTACTCACTCGGGCTGGTGAACATCAGTGACTGCAATGCACTCCTGGCTAAGCCCTCAAGCAGAGGGATGTGACTCATAACGACTCACATAAAGTAATTTTGAACAGTTCCACCCTCTTTCCAAAGGAAAGACAGGATTGTTTTTGCAAGGAAGGGAACGGAATAAAATAGAGCTTAAATGGTATCCATTGAGGTAAAGGAGATAGTTACTTTTTACTTTCTTAACAAAGGGCCCTTTCCCCATGGTGAGGTAAAGAGACAAAATCCCACATGCAGCCTGTGCTGCTGCTGCTGCAGTGAAGCTCAGTTGGTACTGAGGCTACCCTGGGTACAGAGCAGCTTAGTGTAACAGCTGGGGTCCCACTTCACAGAAAGATCTGAAAATAAGAATTGTACATACTGTGATTGTCTTTTTGTGTCCTACCCTCCAAATGTTTCTCAGATTGCCTGTATTTCTCAAAAAAAAATTTGATTAAAAACTTTTTAAAAAAATGATGAGAGCAATTGCTTGGTCTCTAAGAGTTCTTTATTTGTATTCCAGTTAGCTAGGCTACCTGTTCAAACAGAAAGTCCAAAAGGTACAGGTCTGTCGGTCCCAAAAGTCTGACCTGCTTGGCCTTGACTCAGCGACCATATGAATTCTAAAAATCTAGTAGCCACTTAAGCAGCCCTCCACTTTCAAAAAGGTGTCAAAGCACATGAACAGCATGAGCACCCCTACTCACAAGTGGAAGCTGTGTGACTACAGAGATGCAAAAATTACTTGGGCGAACAAATGAATACTTAAATATCTTTATGTGGGCATGCAGGGCTAGAACAGAGCCTCACTGCTGTGGGAAAGGACAGCCCAATTGTACATCTAAGAGCAGGCACTGTGCTGGCTGGTGCCTTCGAGTTGTCTGACTCTTTCACCCTCAGAAGTGATTCTCCCTGCCTGTGTAAATTTGTCATGAATCACAGTAAGCACATGAGCAGATAAAAGTAAGAGGAATGAAGGATGGGGGGGAAGAAGACTGGATGACCTCTAAATGTTGCTTACAACCCTATTTTTTTATGACTCAGATTTGCAGCAGCACTTGGGATATTTAAACATGCCTATTCATTATATTTTCCCAGAGCTGTAGTTAATGCCATTCCCAGTAGTAATATACAACCACCATTCTGTTTTCCTGGGAGACTGCAAGGGAAGGTTTGAATGACTAGCAGACCTTGATTTGTTCTCCCTTGCCTGGGTGATGACACGGCAAGCATATGTCTTAAAGTTCACTCCACGTGCAGAACATGAGCAGCGCATACTTCTTGTGTTCTCCAGAGTTTCACTGCGAACAAGAGGGATAGCTTTGAAAACTAAGCAGCACAGTAAAATTCAGATATAAGGAGGAGGAGGAATCTCCACTTCTCTCACTTGTAGTACTTGGTGTCCCACATCTTCATGTTTCATATGTCAAGAGCATAGGCTGATAATCTGCTACATTACAGAAATTCTTAAGAGATTCATGTGCATTATTCTTGCAAAAGAATGACTGTAAAAGTGAGTTCATTTTTTCATGTTTGACAGTGACACCAGTAAGAGAAAAAAGTGTTTGTTCATCTTGATGTTTATCTAAGTTTACACTGAGGCCAGTTTAACTGGTTAATGCTTTCTGCTGAGCTCCTTCCAGTTACATATGATGTGGGAGAAATGGCCCATATCAATCATCAGCAAGAAATGAATGTAATTTGATGCAGAATTTTCACCTTTATTTCAGTTAAGCCTGAGGGAAGTCATTCACATAGCGTGACACTCAGCAGCTGAACAAAGGGTACTGAAAAATATGGAAAATAAGCGTGGAAGGTGATCATTTTTAAATATACAGCACAAAATCATGTTGCTATTGGTAATACTGCAATTTCTGTTTCAACTTCTGGGATTGTCCCAGTTTAGTCTCTTCTCTTCCTCTCTCTATCTCTTTCCACAGAGATTCTGACCACTACTGAAATCACCTTTGAAAAGATTAACCAAGTATCAGTTCCTTAATTCTTCTGAGGGCTAAGGCTGACCCACACAACAAGCAAGCTTCCCCTCAGCTGCTGCAAGTCAAAGGAAGGGGAAGTTCAAACAAAAGATTCGAGCCCTGGAATACAGACAATTATTTGCAGATGGAGAACTATCTAAGCTCCCACTGTGAAAAAATAGTATGTATGTATACACACACATATAAGATACTGCAAGCTTACGAACGCACAGATCCTTCAAGAAACACTGTGTTTCCTGCTAGGAATATTTCTTGGCCTGATAAAAGTCTCTCCCTACAAACCTTAGTTTTATGTCACCTTGGCTGTAATAACATTATTATTATTTAAAAAAACCCCAAACAAAACAAAGACTAAACCCAAAAAGCCCACCAACAAAAAAGCCTCCCCACTGTGTACTTTTACTACTTTATACTACACTTGTCCTCATTTTTGTGATAATTATATCACGGGAAGACTTTAGAGCTTAATGCAAGTATATTTGTTATTATACTTTCTGAGGAATAAGTAAGAAGTTACCGTGTTGCAATAAGAAGTTACCATGTTGAAGAAATGAGTCTTAACAAGACAGTGGGACAAATGCATCCACTGCAATGGAATTGGATTTCCTATTTATTTTTGTTAAACCATTAGGAAGCAGTATTTATTTGATTCCCTCTATGTGCCCAAAATGTCACCATAAAAAATGTCACACAGAAAACAACAGCTACAATATTGTGTCTGGGTAAATGAAAACCTGTACAGAATATTGCTCACAAAGTGGCCCCTGCTGATGTTTTATTCACCCTAAACATGTCTGTTGTAGCCACAAACTGAAAGGTAAAAATGAAAAATGCATTTCAATCCCTAACTCTCATTTCTGCTTTCAGAAGAAAAAAGCACCGCTGTCAAATTTGTGAACACTGCAACAATCTGCAGAGAAATGTTCTGTGAAATGTTTTTTGTGTGTAAGCATTAACGAGGGCAAAATGAGGCAGGCAGAAACACAACTGAGGTAACAACTCCTCCCCACACCCCACAAGTTAACCCCATCACATCACTAGAAAACCAACAGAAGCATGAGGGGCATTTATTACCACTTCCTCAGCAGGATAAAGTTCTTAAATACTTTCTGAAGATTAAAAACAGCAGGATCCATAAGCCAGATATTGCATGCCTCCTTGCGGAGGCTTGAAGAATACACACTCTTTAACTTCTTATTTCTGATAGCGTTTAATAAAACACATCAATCACAAACTTCCATCCACTTGGCTGAAACTAGCAAACCCCTCAGCAGTTCCAAACAGCCCTATGGAAGGAAAGGAAAAACCCAGCTTGGCAGATAAATGTCTCTATTAATCTCTAAACACACATGGAACTTCCCTCCAAATTTACACTGTCCAAAAGCCAAGATGACAATCTTACATCTTCCACCAAAGTTAAAAGATCTTTTATCAATAAAAAAAATATTTTAAACTGTGTGTAGCAAAGGTTTGTACCCAGCACATTACTGCGAAATTAGAATTAAGAAAATGAAAGACAATTCTGGTGCATGATTCCTTCTCTCTTAAAAAGTTCTCTGAATGATGGAAAAAAAGGTAAAAAGATGCTCCAAAATGTGATTATATCTGAAAATAAAATTTTGTCTTTGATTTCCTCAGTGCATATCCCCACTAAATGCCCAAGCTTCCAGCACTGACAACACCATATGGGTAGCTTGCTTCCTTTTGTAACTACCCTGAAAAACGTTTCAGGCACTGAGGAGGAGCTGGTTCCTTAGTTACTCTTGTTACAACTCACAGCCCTAGCCCTCAAACAGTCTCTGATATTGAGACCATCATTTCAGAGTACTGCTGTTATTTAGCAGATGAGATGTCATGTCAAATTAGGGAGCTTTTTAATTTGCATACTTGATTCTAAGCATGTGCTACTGTGATAATCCAACTGGGAAGTCGCCAGGTCAGGGATCCACACGACCACCACTGCATCTGCTTAGAAAGGAACACAGATTATTAGTGGTCTTTATTATATGGGTATCTGGATTCAAGAAAGAATGTCAGAGGACTGTGAAAAGAGGCAACATCTGGATGGTCTACCAACCAACTTGCAACATCTGGTTGCTGCAAGATAATAGCAATTTCTTCAAAAAATAATCTTTTTGCTGAGGACACCTGAATCTAAGATGCAGAATCTAAGAAAGCTTTATGCCACCACAGCTGCACCTAATAGGAACTGTAGATATGAGAAACTCTAAATACATACACACAGCCTGCTGCAGTGAGGGGAGCTAATGGAAAGATTTAACTCACAGTCCCCGACAGGAAGAGCTGAGCTCAATTCAGATCACTCTAATAGCAGAGGAAGGTACCGTTAACACAGGCAGCAGCTGTTCTCCCTCTGCTCCAGGGATTTCAATACCAGCTGTTTAGTGATACTTTCTTATGTTACAAATTATTTTTTTTAAATTCCTGCAGATGTAGGAAAGACAGACTTTTAAAATGTCACTACATTTTATATGAATAATGACCTCCCATAATCTGCTGAACAACTGCATATAAAATTGATATGAAAAACATCCACTTAGGTACAAGAAAAGCTCATGGAAGAAAGGCTTTATTTGCAGTGAATTACACAGTGACAGTATTTGAAATTCTCTTTCTTACCAACATAATACTGAAAATTTCCTGAAGAATTTGATGCATGAGAAAAAAGTTTCAGAATATGTTCAAAATCCACTTTATGAATGATGCCTGCTACCACGATAACTTAGTTTCTGTGTATTATTTCTGTGTACCCACACCAGAGTTCGTGACCTGCACAAGAGATCCCTATGAAATCCTCCAAGAAAACAGTGCCCTCTTTGAAATACAAATTCAGATCTTCTAAATCCTAATATGATTTTTAGTGACAAAAAAAAAAATATCACCTACTAAGAGGCTCCAGAAGCAAAACCATGTTACTCCCTGAACACTGACTGAGCAAGATGAGCATGCTCACCCACTCATATTCAAGTTTCATTCCTCCCCTTTGCTACCCCCAATTAAAAAAAATTAATTCCACATCCCTAGCAAGTCTTCAGCCACAGACAGTATTTACCACACTCCAACCCAACCTAAGATTTGTAGATTTCATTTATGAAACATACAATTCTCCCTTAAAAATACATGTTCCCTTCAGCATGTCTGTCATGTAAAAAGAACTTTAATACAAGGTAAGTGGTGTCATTTTGTTTAATTTGAGAAATGTTGCTTCCTGCAGAATAAAACTTGACAAATAACATGGAAGAGGGGAAGGAGATTCTGATGGATTCTATATGGAAAAAATGTCTCAGATATGAAGAGAACCAAAAAGCAAAAAAACTGCTAGAATATGTCAAGTAGTGTAACTTATGAGAGACATCTGTCAAACAAAAGTGAAGGGACAAGGATGACTTAAAAGGCAGAAATTAGTTTATTTATACATCATTATTTCAGACATTCAGTATTTCTTTGGAGAAAGCTTTATTACCCTAAGGCAGGGAAAGTAAGGATAATCTGAGATTGTTTTTTCCATCCGCTGCTAGTCATGCAACTACTTTAACATGGATATTATCCTTAAAAATTGTGCGTCACATCAGCAAAGATTTTCTCCATTTCAAGACCTTTTCAGCTATAATGGCCAATGAATGAATCTTTCAAAGTGCTACTGTTCTGACAGTTAAGATGTATCCTGCTGCTGACTGATATTTGTGAAAACAGGATTCTTTGAAATGCAGAACCAAAATTTTAATATTTTAATTAATACCAAGCTAAATTAAGATGTGGAAGATGTCTATTTCCTCGACAGCTCATCCTGGCTTTTAATTCAGAGATACAGGCCTGAGCACATAAACCTTGAACTACACATTAATTCCTCTTTGCTCCCATTCTTCGTCCACTAGGTACAGCACCACTGCACCTGCTATCCCTACAACACATCTGCCTTCAGCTTCTGAAAGGACCTTTAGTCTCTTTTTGCCCCCCTAGAAATGATTTGACACTGGTGCACTGCAAGGACTGGTTTCAGAAGATGTCTGCATAGCTCTCCGCAACTGAAAAAGCTCAAGAAAATCCTATCTCAGGTCAGACTGCTTGCACTCTGTAAGCTCTTCTGCAGGCCCTCTCAGAAAGGGCATTTAAAACCCTGCAGCTGGGAATCAAATCAGCTTCATATCAGCGTTTACTGGAGTGTGAATACGACACACAGGTAAAAATGTTTCCATTGATCCATATTATATTTGATACTACATCCTACATTTAACAATTTGGGTTTTGGTTTTTGGTTTTTTATTTGCCAGTTAATTTTAGCACATTCTTTACCATGGCCCCAATGCCATCGAAGATATTATGTAATTCTGTTTCACACATAAATGCTGGGGTAGTCACAACCTTGTTTTTTGTATCCACATGAGCTTCGTAGGAGGGAGTTAAGGAAAACACAACCTATGTCTCACTTGCAGATGTTGTCTGCAAAATAAACCACCATTGACAAAACCTCACAATTTCACTATCCTATAAGAAAACACCTCCGAATATATTATACCGTCCAGCTGTAAAGACAGCTGCAACCTATAATCCAAGATACTAGAAGCTATTTTTGCCAGAAATACAAACACTGCGAGAGCCATCTCTGGGAATACTCAGAAACACAAGAAAAACTTAAAAAATTTACTTACCATAATAACATGTCTCTGAGTACAGTTTAATTACAGCATTAGACTTCACAAAAAGAAAAAAAAATCTCAGAGAACTGACCAATTGCAACTAATGCCAATTTTACGTGCAAATTCACTCAGCATTTACTGCATTACTGTCTCCAAGGGAGTTCTATGGCAATGACCGAGAATGGCTTCTAACTTCACAGTACAGAAGACAATGTTTCTAATCATCCACTGTATTACATGCCATGCATGATACACTGTACATTCTCACTAAACTGTAAGTGGAAAAGCATAGATCCTGCATGTATTTGCTACTATACTGACACATTACTAAATTGTCTCTCAACACGGAAATCAACAGGAAAGGATATAGTTACTTCTTTCACACAGTGCTTTCCTCCCAGTTCTTTAATAGCTCCTGCAGTCCCAGCATAAGGCCACTTGCCACCTTCCTCTTCTTCGTGGCCCACAGTTACTTCAGCACCAGAGAGAACCTTTGCTGCCAACACTGGTGAAATGCAGCAAAGACTGCAACAAAAAGAACTGTAAGAGCAATTCTACAATGGCACACTTTCAAAAAATTGGTTATAATTGAAAAGATTCAAATGGACATGGTCTTACAAATCTCAAAGACATCACAAGGCAAATTCCACTCACCATTTTCTTAGCCTCTCCTTTGACAAACACCTACACACACACACACACATCTTGAAAAACACACTTAAAAAAATAAGCTACAACTGATACAAAACAGAAGACGCTTTTTCCAGTTCCAATAATAACAGCTGCACATTTCCACAAAACATCCTTTGTCTCCGTGCACACACTATCAAACAAATGCCCCTCCAACTAACATACATACCCAATAGGTTTGCCTGCTTTGTGGAAGTCTTTCAAGACACGTTCAACTTCTCTGTTCACCTTGCAATCTTTCCCATCAACAGCAAAGGTAGATCTGCCACAACAAGAAACTTTATACATACCTCATTATTAATCTACAAATAGAGATGCCTGTCTGCTCTGAAACTGGCTCTCAAGGGTCATAACAAACTTAATAGCTTATTACATATACTTAAAATGCCTATAGTTCACCATCAATGCTTTAGCCAAAATGCCTTACTTTTTAAGGCTTTGGTATGTCACCAAGTTCCTTTACTTGACAGAAACATCTAGAAATAAGAATTATCAAATCAACTTTCTAGGATTACTAAGAAGTGGAACAATGTTTTCACAGAAGAAAAATACATAGAAGAAAAGGGAAATAACATTCAGGTTTCTCAAAGCCAACAAAATGCTAGGTCAACAACAAGATAAATCAGTATTCCACAAGGCTAACAATTTTTTTTTGAACTTTTTTTAATTTTTAAACTAGCTGTTGTTTGTTTCTAATGCAAGAGGGGACTTTTTGGTAGGCAGACAGAGAGAAACAGAATAATAACACTAGGAACACCTAAAACTACTGAAGTTTTAATTTCACTTCCCCTTCACGAGTCACCGCAAGGGTGGGGGAAAAAGGACTTCTTGTGCATTATCTAAACTCCAGAATTCTCACCAATATAGTTTGGAAAATTTAAAACAAGACAATGCCACTAAAAATTAAGACTGGAAACCATCATGAACAGCACAACACTTTGAAAGGAGTTTTCCTTATTTAGTAGTGGTTACATACATAGTAAATAAGGCCATTTATTGCTTCCCGATCTTATTATGTGAATCTGTTGATTATAAATACTTGAACATGAATATGCTTAGTCATGATAAACTAATGCTTAGTTGCCACTCACAAATTTTTAGCAGCTCCAAATCCACCAGGGAATATCACAGCATCATGGTCTGCTGTAGTAAGCTTAGCCAGGCTTGCAATTTTACCACGAGCAATCCTTGCAGATTCCACTAAAACGTTCCTTGAAGAACCAGAAATAAAACAAAGAGATGAGTTAAGCATTTGCACACAGAAGAGCTTAAAGAAAGTTTTGGCAGAGGAAGAGGAGGGATAGGAAGGGTGGAAGCAAGAAGAACAGTGGTTCTCAGTAACTGAAGCTGTTGATGCTTCTGAAATACTACTACTGGAAAACACAGGCATTAAGAGACTGTATACAATCAAGTCCGGAAAACTCATTTAAATTTTCTCTCCAATCAAATACCAGCCAGCATAAAGCTACTAAAGCCAGTCAGTAAAGTGCAACAAGTGCAGTTACAGGCTACTGTGTCTGAAGAATGTCTAAGAGACTGAGACTCAGCAGTCATGCGAAACACATTAAACACAGACTTTACCTCGACTCAGCTTCAGCTGGTTGCCCTTTACTGTGGTCAATGACATGCATCTGAGGAACATCTGGAGCATACATCTGAACCTCAGCTCCCCCACGACTAAGGTGTACCAGTATGCTATAAAAACAGAGATAAAATGTGCTGAAAACCTTAGAACAGAGGCTTTAACTGGCCCCTAATTCTTGCTACAAATATTCTACCACCTGATTTTGAAAGAAGAGGAAAACTACATATCCTACCAAAGCATAGTGAGCACATAGCAGCAAAATCCCTCTATGTAACACCAATGTGCAACACAGAACAGAAAGTCAGTTTGGTGGCAGGGTCAGGTAAGTTAGAGACAAATTTATTTGTTCAGTGCTCCTATGCATTATGCCATAAGCAGGAACAATAAAAAACTTCCTTTCTCATTGCAAGTCCCCAGGTGTTATGGAAGAGTCCCATGATTAACTTACCTATGTGTACATTTAATCTAGGTCTAGGTGAAACTTCTCTTAGCAATTAAAACTGAAAGTTAATAATTCAACTTGAGTATTAGAATTAATTCTGTTAGATTTAGCCCCAGGAACAGAAACTCAAAGTGACTATGAAATGAAGTCTTTACTTGACTCTCTTGAGATTGATTCTGGAACTCAGAAATTCTGTTTCTGAAGGAAAGAGAGTCTCTCTCAAACTCACTGCCCTGGCATCATGTGCACTGTGGTGCACCTTTGGACAATCACTAAGTACTGCAAAAACATGGCCTGAGCTCCCAACTATGCTATGAAAAAAATGTGAAGCTTCATCATATGTCTTTCAGGGCAATTTTGATGGTGCAAAACTGAGTTCAGCAGATTGCTGTAAAGGAGACTTTTTTTGAGCCTACAGTTTCCTAAAGCAACTTACGCTGAGGCCTCATGGATTTCTGTGCCATCGTAAACACCACAACCAGACAGGACCTGAAGTGAGAAAATCAGGAACGTGTTTCAGGTGATATAAAGCTTCCTACAGGATCTTTCACAAGCCTTGTAAGATTAAAAAAAAAAAAAATCAACCCAAACAACAAACCTCCCTCCACTGCACCCAAAAACCAACTTAGCAACAAGCTCCTTACTAAGCCAGTCAACATCATGCTATTAGCACTGGTGCTGCCATCTGACATATTGCAGAACTGGCATTTACTATTTATAGCTACCCATTACAGACAGGTCTCAGAAATAATTAATATTTATTTATTGGCTTTTGCATTTTTTCCTCAGAGTTAATAAAGTGACATGATATCTTAGGTATGTTTTTACTGTGCACACAATGGGTGTCATATGTCTACTTATGAAGTGTCCGTATCCATGTGAAATATTTTCTCATCCAGATGCACACCAAACAGAAGCGGAATAGAAGTGCACTTTGAGGTGGCACTTCAGATAAACTATCTTACCTACTACTGTATTTTGTCTGAGGATCCACCTCAGACATTAATAGCTAAATCACTTTTTATACAGTTATGCAGTATTAGCCATACTTTGCCTTATCACCATGGCAAAAAGACTATCAGTTTGTTTATACACACTGGAGAATAAAAAGCACAATCAGCTATCATCCTTATGTGGGTGGAAAGAATCTTTCACAAAGTAGAAGAAAGGAGAAATAACATTTTTTAAAAACCCAGGGAAAAAAGTTAATTATAAGAACAAAACAAACCCAAAAAAATCCAAAGAATTATCCAGTTCCTGAAAGTATTTAAATGAACTCCGGTGGGTTTTTCTTCTTTGGTTGTTTTGAAAGAAAAAATCCAGTTAAAGATGATCCATTTATTAACTTTACGCTCTTCCCTCCTGGTTTTATCTCAGTTTTTAGAAGCTTGAAAGTTTTTAATCACAGACACATGAACAGAAACTCACAACTGAAACTATCTTAGTTAGAAACACTGGACTCAAAGGGGCTTTCAGATCACAACACCCAGTCCTCTGCTCTTGCAGATATGGCATCCTACCATCACTTCACCAAATTAGTAAAATCCGTGAATGTTCTCTTGACCATTGTTAATCCTAACTACAGTTTTGCTGCTCTGATATTTAAAAAAGGCCTTCTACTTCCCAATTTTTTATTTTACCTTTAATTTAGTCTGAATAAACATAGAAGCATTGTGCTAAAGTTATCTTCTGTAAGCAGAACATTTTTAAATGTTTTTGAAACTCACTGAAACCGAAGTACTAAAACACGATCCTCTTCTGTTATTTCAGTACCTGCCTGGTGACAAATCTGTCTTTTACCATAGTCAGAAATTTATGTCACTGATGTCAACAGTAACATTGGTTTTCTACTCTCTGTTTAAAAAGCTGTGATTTGCTGAAATGACAGCATTCCTGGTAAGTTACCTTTTAGACATCTGGACCAGCATTCTGCCCATTCCTGAGCCAACTCTGACCCAAACAAATTTCTTCATGCAGATAATGCCTTCTTATTTCTTCACATTTTATGCTGTCAAGACTATGCAAAACCTGAGCTTCAAAGACTATCATTGAGCTCCAAAACTGTATACCCATTTGAGATGCCATCTATAGCCTAAATTTTCCTTTGGCAACCTGTAGGTCCTCCATCTCATTTTCTTTTACATCTTTAACATGCTTTACCTCCTTTGCGTAGAAGGGCATAACAGTTAAAAAATTTTCCTGTTCTCCTGGTTTTGGCTGAGATAGAGTTAATTTTCTTCCCGTAGCTGGTACAGTGCTGTGTTTTGGATTTAGGATGAGAATAATGTTGGTAACACACTGATGTTTTAATTGCTGCTGAGCAGTGATTACACTAAGTCAAGGACTCTTCCAACTTCTCATCCTGCCTTGCCAGCAAGTAGGTTGGGGGTGCACAAGAAGCAGGGAGGGGACACAGCTGACCCCAGCTGGCCAGAGGGATATCCCACACCACAGGACATCATGCCCAGTATATAAACTGGGGAGAAAGCCGGCTGGGGACTGTTGCTCGGGAACTGGCTGGGCATCAGTCAGTGAGTGGTTTATCAACTGCATTGTGCATCACTTGTTTTATATATTCTAATTCTTTTATCATTATTATTTTCCCTTCCTTTTCTATCCTATTAAATTGCCTCTAGCTCAACTCATTACTTTTACTTTTTTCTCCCGATTCTCTCCCCCGTCCCACTGGGGGGTGAGGGGTGGGGAAATGAGGCAGCAGCTGGGGGGTGTTTAGCTGCCTGCCCGGTTACACCATGACACCTGTACACTGCCAGTACGGCCCCACTTGCACTCTAAATTGTTTCAAGTTCAACTCCAGCCAACTCGCCAGTAACAACTATAGAGAGGCCAGCTTTTACGCGTCTCCCACTCCTGGTCTGGCTCGCTCCAAATGACTCAATTCTAAACAACTTTATCTTCTCCGTTTCAGCTTCTCCCAAGGCCTCCCAGCTGCCGCAGCCACCGGCCGAGTCTCTCCGCGGTGCGACGCCAAACCCTCCCACAGATGTGTATAAGA